ATTTTTAATAGTTTATGTTTCTCTGTATGTTCCAACTTTTCAAATCAAATGTTATAATAAAAAAAACTTGCCTTATTTTTCAATGAGTAAACCATTGACAATTTTAGCAGTGTGTACACTGTAAAGATCCAATCTGGTATTTACATTAAAAGACATTTGTAAGTCATATATTAATGGCTATAATTAAATAATAGCTGGTTTAAAAGTATGTTTTAAAAATTTGTTCTCAAGCAATGTGGGCTTACAAATCTTACTCTAGGGAAATTCATACTCCAAAATACGAATGTTTAGTTACAAGCATAAATCTGTTCAGCTCACATCAAATTCTCAAAATGGTTTGTTAATTAAACAATTTACTGAAAGTGAAAATGAAGATTTCAGCCTAGGAAGCCCTCTGAGGAAGTTCTATTCTGTTCTATAGGGTCATTAGGAGTTGGAATGGACTCAATGGCACACAACCACCACCTGGAAGTCATCTTTATAAATTATTACAGAAACTTATTAAAATGTCCTAATGCTATAATGGGAAAGGTAGAATCTCAAAGCAATGAGGGAACAGATAATACATTATGTTGGGCCAACTAGGAGGCAATTTGGAAAAATAAGCTAGGTCCATACCTGAATTCCTTAGACCAGAATAAATTCAAAGTGTATTAACAATTTAAATATATAAACTATAAATAAATAAATAGAAGAAACCATGGAAGATAACTCTTTACCACCTCAGTGTAGGGAGTTCCTGCAAAAGATAAAAGCTAACCCATTAAAGAAAAGTCACATACGTCAAGCTCAAAGAAAAAGTCTTGTTCTTTGGAAGCAATTTCATAATCCGCTCTTAAAGCCAGGTCATGGACTTTCAGACATTCTCCAAGATCCATTCTCTGGGGGAGAAAAAGATGATGATATTAAAACAGAAAATACATTTTTCAAAAATGCATGAACAATTACAGTTCTCTCCAGAATACATACGTATTAAACCATACAGGATGATGCTTTCAAATTACAAAATTTCATAGGAAGTATAAAACTTGGTGCAAGAAAACACTTGCATTAATTCTGTTTACCAACAGGTAGAAAGAATGATCACTGTGTAGTTAAGAATGAACAGATGGACATGGAAAAGCCTTTCAGAAGCTGAAAAGAACTCACAGCTTCTGTATTACAACATATCTCACTTCTTCTCGCTTAGCTCATGACTGAGAAGAGATAAAGCAGGTTAATTTACAGTTCAAAATAAAATGGACAGGATGTAACTCAGATTACCGAAGTATGGTCAGTGTTCTCTGAAGAACATTCCAATTTCCAAATAACGATGGAGTCCCCAGACCGCCAACCTGGATGCTGATACCAGCAGACGCATCCATACCTGGTGTAAGTTCACGAAGAACAAGGCCCTCCTTTACCCTGCCTCTGATGAGGGTGTACTGGAGAAATAAAACCAACACTCTTTCCGACACGGAAATCTTCCAATATTTGGAAATTTCAATTGGGTACTTTACACCAAACCAGAGGCTTTTTTCCCATCTCAGATAAAATCCCTAAAAGTCTGTCCAATTTTACATGTACCATAACGATTGATAAGTTCTTTTATGTAATTCTTTTGGGGAAGAATGAGCTGGCTGCAAAGATAATGACAATAAAAGCACAATAAAACACTAACAGTAAAGTCATCCGAGTACCCACTTGGGCTGAGCACTCTGCGAGGCGCTGGGGCATTCTGGTAAGATGGCTACATCTCTAACCTCCTGGAACATAGTGAATTCAAGCAGACGGAAAACAAACAACAAACAAGAACTGTGCTACCAACAAGGGAAGGTAATCTACTGAACAGCACTGCCTGGGTAACTATCGGGACATGATGGGATGGTCTGACCTTTCGATGAGTAACTGCAACTGAACCTCGAGAATTACGAGAACAAACTAACTTTGGGGGAAGACAGCGAGGGCTCCAGGTTTAGAAGGCAGACCTTTTTATTTTTTTAATGCTGTTATTAATCAGAGGGAAGTTTCTAGTAGCAACTAGAGAATCTACAGCACCTAAGTCTGGACCTTAGCTTTGCACAGAATGTCCAGAAATGGCTTTGGCTATTCAACTTTGCTTTCCGTATCCTTTCACCATACTTAATCTATACGCTGAACAAACAATCCGAGAAGCTGGATTACATGAAGATGAATGCGGCATCAGGATTAGAGGAAAACTCGTTAACAACCTGTGACATGCAGATGACACAACCCTGCTTGCTGAAAGTGAGGATGACTTGAAGCACCTACTGACAAATACCAAAGACTACAGTCTTCAGTACAGATAACACCTACAAAAATCCTCACAACTGGACCAATAAGCAACACCATGATAAATGGAGAAGACTGAAGTTGTCAAAGATTTCAGTTTATTTGGAAGCAGACGTCAAGAACTCAGACATCATAATGCACTGGGTAAATCTGCTGCAAGGGACCTCTTTTTAAAAATGTTAAAGAGCAATTACATCACTTTGAAGACTAAGGTGCGCCTAACCCAAGGCACAGTATTTTCAATCACCTCATATACACATGAAAGCTGGACAATGAATAAGGAAGATCAAGGAGTTGATGCCTTTGAATTGTGCTGTTAGTGAAGAACACTGAAAGTACCATGGGCCGCCAGCAGAACGAACAAACTTGTCCTGGAAGACCTGGAATGCTCCTTAAAAGTGAGAATGGCCAGACTCTGTCTCACCTACTTCGGTCAGATTGTCAAGAAGGGACCATTCCCTGATGAAGGATATCATGCTTGGTAAAGAAGAGGGTCAGAAAAAGGGAAGACCCTCAATGAGATGGCTTGAAACAGTGGCTGCAATGATGGGTTCAAACACAGCAAGGAGTGTGAGAATGGCCCACGACCGAGCAGTGTTTCGTTCTGTTGTAAATAGGGTTGCTATGAAAGGGAACCAACCCAACAGAATCTAACAGTAGTAACCTTCAACTATGTGTCTACAACCTGAACATGTGCATAACAAAGGATGTATCATTAAATTTGAACAATACCCAAAGCTAGAAAGGATAGAAGTTACTGATCAAGATTCAAAACGATTAAACCAAATAAAATGGAACAGAAATAAATGTGAAGTCCCATAGGTACACATAAGGAGCTCTGATGGTGTAGTGGTTAAGGCACTTGGCTGCTGACCAGAGGTCAGTGGTTCAAACCCATCAGCTGCTCCAAGAAGAAAGTTAAGGTGTTCTGCTTTTGTAAAGATTCACAGCCTTGGAAATTCAATGGGAGTTGCTGTGAGTCAGAATCAACTTGATAGCAGTGAGTATAGTTATACCTAAGACAACAAATTTACAAATCACTAGGTATCAGTCCATGATTAGACAAATTAAAGAACGTAGCTATATGAGTCCAGAGTAAGGGTGGCATGACTGGGATGAAGTGCCTGAAACACCCTCCACAGTGTGCACTGTGTTGCCTGGGGGTGAAGCACCCACCCTGTGAATCACACTCCCAGTGGCAAGGCACCTGCATTGGCACTGGAGCTAAGATGGGCACCACGGATGACCCTCTGCCACCGGCAGCCTTTGTGTCCTATGAAGTACCAACTTCGACTGAAGGCCTTTTTTTTTTAAATTGTGATTTGGGTGAAGTTTACAGAGCAAATTTATTTTACATACAACAGTTCACACACACTTTGTTTCACGACACGGAACGCAATCCCCACAATGTAACAGCTCTCTTTCTGATTCCTCCCTATGGTTGCCTTTTCCTTGTGTCCTTCTTTCCTATGCATTCCTGCCCCCTGAGCTATCTCCATATGTAAATGCTGCCCTTCTGATCTTCCATGATTGATCATTCTAAGAAGTGCACCTACCTGGTGTAAATGTTCACCCTATACTGCCTGTCTATTTGGCTGGAAGCTATGGGAGTGAGTTCAATTCTAGGCCCAAAAGGTGCCTAGGAACCATAGTCCCAGAGGTTTTACCAGTCTCCATCAGACTAGTAAAAACTTGATATTTATGTTTTTGAGTTTTGTTCTACATTTTCTCTCACTCTATCTGGGATCTCCTGCACTGATCCCTTCCCAAGTGACTGACAGTGGTAGCCGGGCACCATCTAGTTCTTCTGGTTTCATGGTCATGTAAGCTGAGCTCTGCATGGCCCACTAGTCCCTTGGACTAAATGTTTTCATGTGTCTTTGGTTTTCTTCACTTTTCTCTGCTCCAGAAGCAGACAGATCAATTGTTGCATCTAGATGGCCACTGCGAGCTTTTAAGACTCCAGTCACAACTCACCAAAGTAGGATGCAAAACAACGTTTTTGTGTAATATGTTATGCCAGTTGCACTTGATGGCCCCCACAACCACGGTCCTGAGCCCAGACATCCAACAACTCACTCCCTCAGAGTGGCTGGCTATACTTAAGGAGTTACATAACTTTGCCCTGCTTGTTCCAATTATATGGACATTCTTACAGCACATACAAATACGTATATAGAAATACTGTCTGCCAAACCTACAAATGGTCATGGAAATATTCCCTTTTGCCCAGGCAGACCTCATCATTCAGCCTGTGTACCTACGTATCCACTTGCACATTGCTGTTTGTTAGTACTGATAATGTACACGTAAAAGTGTGTATCTTTGCTGTCTGTACCTCTGTGTCTTCCTTCTCCTTAGTGTTACTGTGAACTACTAAAGGACATTATTGTTTTACTCAAAAGCCAACCACTGGCCATAGCAGATATATAGGATAGAGTTCCTGTCTGATAATCCAGTGGGTGAGAGTTACTGGCATAAAAACACCACCTTGTGCACTGACACTAACCCTCTTGCTGACATGATAGACTTCTCTAATTAACAGGCCAGGCACATGGTGACTATGCTAAAAAGGTGGGACTATTACATAATGCAACAGTATACAATTGTTGACATAAGCAGCCAGGGTCCTGCCAGTGAGCCTCAGATTATCTGATGGCCTCGCAGGGAGGGGTCTGTGCCCTAGTAGCCCTCAGGGGTGTGTCTCAGTTAATGATAGTTACGAAGCAGTGCTGGGAGAAAATAGCTAAGGCCAAGCCTTGGCCAGGCAGGGGCTGAAACAGCCTCTGTCTTCTGACTATCCCAGATAGAACCTGGTTAGCCGGTTGCCAAACGGATGGGGGACACGGCTGGGATCCATTGCATGAATGGGCCCAATCATCCTGTTAACCATGCTTGTAACAGTATGTTATGACTGTCCTCGAGCAATGCTATACTAAAACCACAGCAGTCAGGGTATTTCATAAATATAAAGGCTTTGACTTGCACCTACACCCTCCTGAAGGTTACTGGGCTTTTGACATGACATGGACAAAAAACCAGAGGAGGACAATTGGAGGTGGACTGCTAGATGCCCCCAAACACACCCACCGCC